TGTAAGGATCAGATGAAAAACTAACTGTACGTATGCATCTCTGACGCGAACACATAGGTTACGAAATTCCCGTCAAATATACTGATTGGCACATTATAAATGAATACTAATAACTCCATGGTTCATCATTACTTTATACCGAAGAACAAATCTTATTTACCGCACAGGAACACTAATATTGGAAAGACAGTGTAAACCAACCCAAGAAGATCAAGGTATAACAAACTTTCGGAATTAATTTCAGGTTCAAATTATCTTTTAAGGGGGAAGATGCTAAGAAGAAAACAAGTAAATCAGTTGATGAGGTTATGAATCTTCATCGACTGAGATGGTTGGGCCACGTGTTACGTATGCCTGGACACCGATTACCACCACGCGCAATGCTGACTAGTGTTGAAGTCGGTTGGAAGAAAGTTCAGGGTGGCCAAACCAAAACGTGGCATCAGTGCTTGAAGTCACTAAATTCTGGTTTGAATCATGTTCGTAGATGCAGACTACTTTGTTGGGGTCCGTGTGACTATCATAACCAATGGTTGGAGACTCTTGGTGACATGGCTCAGAATCGATCACAATGGCGTCGGTGTATACACTCTCTGTCTTCCTTAAATTAAGAGATTAAAATCGCTTCAAATCTTTCTTTCTAAGAACTAATTCTTTATTCCTGTACTATATCCTTATACACACTCTTTCTTCTATATATTACCACCACTGAATTAACTAGTTCTATGAATCCGGTGTTCATCTTGTTGTGCTAATTCAGTATGACAACTTGGCCTGATGCATATATGTGCCTGGTCCGACGTTTCAGCTGACTGACTGACTATATAACTCAATAAAATCAGCCAGTCTATTGATTACGTCAATTATGTGCACCCAATACATTGTTGATTAACTACAATTTCATTTCTATTCAATGACCGAAAATTCTAGATTGTCTGTACTTTCTTCTTCTTCTTCTACGTCTTCCGATTGATCAGAGATTAGTGAACAATCAAATAATTTTCTACAGTCCTGTTTTACTCCTTCTGTCTTTATAGGAGTCTCGTTTCATCTCAATAACTAAAATGTGTTATTTATCATGCAATCATACCAGTGGTAGTAATCAACATTCAATTCAAGTTATAATACTAACAAACTAGTCTTGTTTGCTTATAATTTACTAACTGAAATTGGATTGGTTCTTCTCCTTCTTGTAATTACTATCAGAATATATATGTTTTTAAGGAATTCTCATGGGTTAAAACATTCAGTATGTTTAAGTAAGAAAAACTAGTCATTAAACTAGTATCATCTACCATAATATGACTGTTTATATCTATTGTAAATGCTAGTAAATTCAAGTGTTTAAATATATACTGAAGAAGATTCATATTCTAGTTCTTATTTATATCATTTGACATTCATCATCGAATATGACGATAACAAATACAGCATATACACTCGTTAATAATCGTAAACTAAAATCGAATAAATGTTTAATACTTTTCTGGTTTTCAATGATCATTAAAACAATGTCATTGAATGAAAAAAAGACGTACATAAATAGGATAAATCAATAATGTATATATTATATGATTTTTAGAATGATTTAGTCTTTTCATATTACATAGACAACGATTATTGAGGAATAGTATTTGTTATATCTTGTGTAACTATGGTGATAATAGTGATACATAGTTAATGTATGTATATCGATAGAAATTAACATATTCATTTTGTGAAACTGTAATTATTTCTCAAATCATGTTAGTCAGATTTTGGAAAATAATATTTAATTATGTTGAATATAAAGTTTATGTAAGATGTTCAGAGTTAAATGATGTAAACAATAGTCTTAACTAAAACAAAAGTACATTCATTTTTCAATTATTGTGTGTATTAGATATAAATTTTGGGTAAATTTGGAAGGTGAGGAATAAAATCAATAATTTCGTTAGTATTTATTAATTCTAGATGACATCTACCTTCAATCAAGGGGTTTGAATCGTTCATAATCTTTTTATTATACTAATTTATATTCCATTGAATCATATTTTTGATGCCCTGAACTTTTCTGCTTCTACTACTATCACCACAACTTTCACTGACATGAGGTTCACTCTAACAATTTATATTGCTGAGTGAATGTGTAACTACTTGAACTAGTGTACACTCATACTGACTGATCTGTTTATTAATTCATACTCTTGATGCTAACCAAACCAGTAGTGAAGTAATAAAAAACAGTTGATAAAAGAATTTTGAATCTTTTTATGTGTATTACATCGCAGCTTCTATGAATTCTATTAAAAGGGGGTCTCTTGAAATAATATCTCTTAAGGTTATCCACAGTCTATTACAAGTATTTAAAATATGAACAAAATTCCTTTGTACTTCTAACAGAAAGAGAAAAAAAGGTAGACCAATGAAACCAAATATTGGTATCGAATTCCTCTAAAACTAGTAATGTAACACTACATGTAAAGAATGGGAAAAATTCAACTTTGTGATGTCAGTTTAGTGTCCAGTAGAAATACGCTGACATGAATCATCCCAGCTTTTGAGAAGACCATAATAACTCAGACGACATGTGACCACTGAGTCATTTTCACATGTAAAATAACTCTGTTGTTTCCATTAACGTCTTACTTTCATGTCCTTATGTTTTTACCCTTATGAGCCTTGAATGTATGTCTATCACTCATTATTTAATCTAACGCCTGTCACGTTTCTACATCATGCATTGTCTATTATGAACTATACTAATTCATGTATTGAGTAGTATTCCGTGTTGCCATGTGTGCATTTACCAATCTGCGAATGTATGAAATATACATATCCAAAATTCATCACTGTACTTGACGTATTTTATTCCGTTATTTTCCTACGCAGATTGAGTGGATCATTATATACGAGGGTTGGTGGTATGCATATTTCCTTAACATTGTCATAGGCGACCAAACTGGAGCCAAACCAACTGGCCACTAAAACAGGAGTAGTATAAAATAAACTAGTGAGTATTATCAAACAGTGTCTGTTATGTAGAATTTCAGTCACTTGTATGAAGTAAGTCTAGATGGGTATTTATGTGAATATAATATGAATAAAATTAATGTGGGAAAATAAAGAATCCATGTCTAGTCTGAGCATTCCTGTCAACTAGACGTGTTTTTCCAACACTTTTATTCATTTTTCGACCTTTCTACATTCGTCTGTTATCGATAACATTGCCAATAACATTCATGTGTGTCCTTGTGTAAGTCAACTTTATTGGTGCCTGTCACATGTGCTCTAATTAACAACCCACATACATTAACTAACCTATTTAATGGGCCATCCACTCATTATTCGCCATGAAGGCGACGGCGCTTTCATCTGAGCTTCTTTTACGTCTGCGCAAACGATTGAACGTAGTAAATCTTTCACAACTATTTTTTTTATCTGGACCTCATCACTGCCGTTATTTTATGGTGGGCTAGGCTAAGCATGATGTATGAGATTCAAAGGGAATTGACTTTTCATATTTCATAAAAAATTTTTATCATTCACCGTGGTTCAAACTCATAACTAAATACTGTAAGCACTGTCTATAATTATGAAATATGGCCTGCCTCATTTAAAGAAACAATAACGTTTAACAAAGATGGAAACCTTATTTTCAATACTCAGCAAACAGTGCCTAAAAACATTGTTTGCCGCGACAAGATTGAAAATTTGAATAATTACTCGGTAATAGCATGGAAAATTTATAGAATCAAGATGAAACACATGTCAGTGATGTCTAATTTCATTGAATATATAACCATTGGCATAAAAATACTGCTAACTTACATATCTGCACTTTGGAACATAGGGTCTAGCTGTCGATAACAGATGGTTTAAAATTTTTATAGTTAGACGTATTGATGCGTCTTTTGATGTTTAATTCTACAATAGAAGTGATAGGATATGTTTTCGGACAGGATGGTATTTTGAGTGGTGGTTTGGTATATTTTATTTGGACAGTTTTCTTGGGTCTGTCTGAGCTATAATGAGGGAAAGGGCTGAAGCAACCATCTTTGCATCCACCCATTGATTTTGACGCACTTGATGGTTTGAATACAGATTTGGATTGTATTGGGTTATTGGCAGTTGAAGTGAAAGGCCTTCGTTTAATACGCACTTGATGGTAAGGATTTTTATCAAAGTATTGCTGAGGATGCATGTTAAGATAAAACTGCTTTCCAGCTGATGAGCTTTCTTTAGCATTTGTTTTTTTAATTTTGTCATAAGGATCACTCTTGTAGTTTGGATATTTTCCGATTGTGATATCAATGTAAGAACCGCAGCCCTTCTTAGCTGGGGAAGTATAAAAATTCTTCCGGTGAGATTTCATTTGGTTGTTCAGCCTCGTAATTGGCCTAAAGTAGGGTATGGGTCCACTAAACGTATCTATAGAGCTGCCTAAGCCAAGTAGATGATGAGTTCCGTTTGGAGGAGCCCAAGCCTTTCCTCGTATTTTCTTTGAGCTCTCCTTTCTCTGGATTCGAATAAGTCTCTCCAGATCGATTTTATTATCACCAGTGAAAATTCGTGTGAAAGGTCCAAAATAACCATCCATATTTGCGGACTTGAGTTTGAACCCATCACAATACATCTGTTTACCTTTGAATGCTGAACGAATTCGGTGACTGTCTTGTTTATCATACTGGTCACGTATAGTAACATAAGACATCTCCTTAAATATTCCAAGTCTATCAAAATCAGCTTGCATTGTTGGCATTTCGAAGCTAACACGAGTTTACTAGCGAATGTTTTTGAATGATTTGAGTAGATATGAACTGAGACACAATACACTTAGATTGATTTCTTTGAACATAATAAGTGACCTTGAATCTGCACTGAGTTGTGATTCGTTATAAGCGCTCTGTTAAACAATAAGACAAAGTATCACTACATTCAAAACTTTTATTTTATTTATGCATAAATTGTGATTAGCTTGTAACTATACTGTTTTTATATTTTAGGTTAATGCGCCTAAAATGAACTCTGGCAACTGCGGCAATTTCGTTTTTCGGAGCTGGTTCGCATGTTGGTTAATGCTACTAAGAGCATAACTGGTTTTTCCAATTACAAGAAGACGCTTCACATAGAGTCATATGGCATCTGGGAATTCTGTGATCGTAACAAGTCAAATAAATGTATCATCTACGTCAGTGTTGGCGACGGAAAGTTCATGTCAAAATAGTATAGCTATATCGGATTCTCCTCGTCATCACACTGTCCCACACGGTGAAGCTCATCCCCCTCCTACGCAACTTATCAAGTTAAACTCTCTCGCTGGCCCGTCAGTTTCAAGGAAAGAAAAACTTCATACATCTTCTCGATTCGGTGCTCCAAAGAGTCGTGAACTTAATCCTTTACCTCTTATTAAAGGTGTGTTTCAAGTTTTTAATGTACATCTAAATTCGTTCGCCTCAATGTTTGTTCGTGTCCGTAGGTACATTGCTATTCGGTATCTTTTTTTACTATGTTTGTAATTAAGGTCACTTAGTGAACAGTTTTTCTACAAATAACTTTCGGATTGTTTCTCAGCTAAACTGCGTTTGTTGGTAGGCGTGGTGCTGTCTGTCATTTAGCTTAGATATTTAGGACTTTGTGAAATATTACCCATGTGATAATAAACTTACCAATCTTCTGCATTCTAATTTCTTCAAGCCTTAATCTAGTGAGATTATAATTCATGGACGACCTTTAAGCGAAGCCGAAGTGACCCTGAGGGTGGACACCTATTGATAAGGACTAAATGAAGCTTATATAGCGGTTAGAATCCTCATTTATGGTTGGTGGTTAGGGTTGAAAATTAGATTTAAGGTTTTTATCCCGAACTGACATCAGCTGTAGTGCCGAAACTGTATTTAGCCAAATGTATGGGTGAATTTCGCGCCAAAATTCATGACTTATTATCTTATATTTGGTTAATTCGTCCATAAATTATAGTCTCCCACCTAACTGCTCTGATCTAGCAGTTGCGACAGCACTAAGTTTCTAGAAGCTATCTTCACCCGGAATCTAGAATCTTAAGTGATGAACAGTTTCAGCACTTTGAGAAGCTTGTTAAAACCTTTCAAACTAGGATACTGAGCATTTACTGTTTTTCATATTAGTTATAGGGTTTTCTGAAGCTCTTGAAAGTATCCCTAGTTATTCAAAACTTTTTAAGGTTACAGCTGTTTTTGTGTTGTTTGGTGTGTCGGAATAAAGTTCATCAGCTTCGTGTTGAAAAGCCGAAGTGTAAGCGTATTTTGTAACTCTATGGGCTTCAAGGCGTATCTAGAATTTTCACTTGTTGTCCCGAAAGTTGATGAAAATCCATTCGTGTATATGTACAGACAGATAACACATGGATCTTAATTTATTGGCGTACGCCACCTATAAAATTGATACCAATCAATCTCTTAGGACATCTACTAATGTCTGTTTTCTATGGAAATATTTTGTATATAAACATGTTACTTTATCGGAGTAAACTACTCCAGCCAGTGGTCTTTGAAACTAATTTATTAGCGAAATGGGTTGAGTCGGTAATTTGGTCTTGTCAATTGACCCCATCGCGTTAATGTCCTTTATCGAAATATATATATTCTGCCCAATCGTTTTCATTGTATCAAAATGCCCAAAACTCCATGAAATAATCCTTGTGATTTTCTACGTAAACTTAAGTTTAGGAGACAAATAGTCTTAGTAAGATTATTCGCTTTGGAGAGGTTAGTGGATGGCTTTTTTCGAACACCTATTGGGGTACGGAAGATCGTCCATTCTTAACAGAATTATGGATATATATATATATATATATATATATATATATGCATGTTTGACATTTTACTATTTAGTACATGTTTTACTCTCTTTTTTTAATTTTACCCTTAATTTTGACACTCACTTCCATCTCTATATTCAAACTTATTTACAACCTTCAACCTCGTTTGTATCATGGTGCCCAGGCTTGTTTACTGCAATAACTTAGTCTAATTGTTTTATTCGGAACGTTTTTACTTAAAAAGTTGTTTCATCACCAGTTTTTGTGGAGAAATAAGACGGAGCTTCAGTATGTAGCTGAACTGACGTTTTCCTCCACCGGAATTTCGTCGTTGACCATTTAATGATTTATCATAATCCAGCAACTTTATACCTTCGAATCACAGTCATTAAATATCAGCGAGTCAATAGCTGAGTTCATAAGCATGCGTTTGGTTGAGTAGCGGGGACATTTCCAGGAATACTTAATCCTGTACTGGTCCTTATCAATTCTCTTCTTCATATTTTCGACGTTATTTCTGTTATCAGTCTTTTATAAGTTGCTTAATCTTTTCTTTCATGTTTTGGGTTCATGCAGTAGCGCTGCCTGGAGTCCCTTTCCGGGGGCTACTGCCGGTCCCAAGCCCGGATAAAGGAGGAGGGTTGGGCATGGGGTTAGCGACCCCATCCCGTAGAAAACTAACTCGCTAAAAAAAGCTAACCAGTAGCGCTGCACACTATATTTTGTGGACTACACTGTTGAAATCCCATATAAAACTGGGTAATGGGTATATTTGCTAAAATTCTAGAATTCAGTTATTAGTCATAATATGGAGCTTTGGATATATGCGAGTCAACCTAAGTTAACACAAAACATCAGTATAAGGAGATGAAATTAACAAGATGAATAACAAAAGAGTCGAGATAATTGCAGTAGCATTGATAAAGACTAAAAACTGGAAAATACGTTTCGAAAATGTTCAACTTTAGAAAATAAAAGTACGGAAGCTAGTGGAGAAATAGAGCAAATCTATTCGAGCCATTGCCTCTGGATATAAGTCATATAACCTGACATTTGCAACCAATGGTATCTGCATCGCTCCTACTGGAACCAGGTATCTATCAAGACGACTCAGTCCAAAAGTCAAAGGCTTTACAGACTGGTGACATCTATTGTTTTAGCTAAGTGAGACACTCATGCTGTTACACTAAATCACCGTTTCATTTTTTGTTTTTCTTGCAGCCTGTTGGTGTATTTTATAATATCAGCTGGTTTTAGTTTAAAATAGTAAATTTTATTTTATTTTACCAGATTCTGACAATCAAGAAAAGCGAGAGGAGCTATTTATTCAGAAACTAAAACAATGCTCAGTTGTATTTGAATTTGTACCGGATATTTTAAGTGATTTAAAAGATAAAGAGGTGAAACGAGCAGCTCTGCACGAATTAACTGAATATCTGACGGAAAATTCCGGCATAATTACAGATTCAATATATCCAGAAGTGGTTCGAATGGTTGAAGCCAACCTATTTCGTACATTACCACCACCAAGTAATCCATCTGGTGCAGAATTTGATCCAGAAGAGGATGAGCCAACGTTGGAGGCTGCTTGGCCTCATTTACAAGTAAGCTTGTCGAAAAATGTTTAGTTGAGGATGTTTTAAGAGTATCACATATTTTTAGTTTTAAAAGTGTATTAGAAAAGCGAATTAGTGGTTCATTCGCTCAAGTCTTGTTCACTCTTTTAACGTAATACTCATCCCATTCACCCAATTCTAACTGTTGCATTGGCACAGTGGTCAGGCTTGCCCACCGTGATCATCTAGTCGGGATATATTGACTAGAAAATTTTCTTCTTTAGATCCTAGTATATCGAACAGGTCAGTTGGAGGATGGAAAGGCTAGAAACAGCAAATTAAGGTCTGACGGCTAAGTTGTATTGCGGATTGAAAAGTGGCAGTATTAGGAAGTTTCCCTCAAACAACCAGCATCTACAGCGATGCTACTTTCTCACAACAAAGGAGTTTGGAAATGGTCTGTCCTAAAAATAACATACCTCACCTTATCTCACACATTTTATTTCCAGTTGTAAAGCCAAGGGCTACTCTGAAAACACCGTATCTAACCAGCATCATTCAGTTTTTCCTTATTCTCTGTGATCACACTCCCAGGTCTCTGAAACCATTATATAATACAGCTCCCTTTTCATACTCCTGAAGATATATTTTTTACGGTGCTGATGATCGGGAACTGATAACTGCTTACATAGCTGGACTCTGTCTGATTGATATTTTGCTAACTGCAACTTTATGTACTGTACTATAGTGTACTGTGATCATATTGTGTTCTTCGACCGATATAAATAGTTCAGTAGCAGTAATTAAAACATTACTATTCTAATATTATGCAGAGGATATTTCTTAAGGGTTAATAATCATCTTGTTACAATACTGCTTAATTTGTCATATCGTCTTGCTAAATTATGATTACCAATCAAGTAAATGCTCTCACTTGCTCTCACTGCCTGCATAAACGACTATTATGACCAATTCGGTTACATACAAGTTGATTTTACGCTTTCTTTTCCTGTTGTTCTTTATCATTTCCATACTGTTTTTGCCTGACACAGCAGTTCGTCTACAGTGTGGACCGTCATATATCAAGTCACTAACTGGTTGGAAGTTAAATGTTACCACCGAATACAAATTCTTAGTCAGTGTTTCTGAAATCACATACACCATTCAATTACCCCCCCTTCAACGTTTGTATACTAATACAGATCAGAGAACATAGGTTTGGCTGTCTTTAGATAGTCTTAGCATCGACGTTTGTTATCTATTCAAAACATTCATTTAAGACTGGTGAAGTACTACACATTAGCTTGTCTGTTAATTCGAAAGTTTGTTTCACGTGCGTTCTTCCGGGAACCCTGTGGCATTTTCTTCCGGTTTTGTTGACGTTTGTGTCTCAAAAAGGGCCAAAAGTGAGACCACGCTAATTGATCAGATCCCCGTTAACAGTCGATCACATTTTATTAGATTAGAAAACCCCATCTAAGTGAGAAATCCGTGTGAGGAACGATCTCTTCTGGTCATCTCCACCTGCTCGCTGACAGATTACAACTCAGATGCAATTAAGTTTGAGTTCTGCAATCAGTTAAACTATCTCAACAAACCGCGTACTAGCTTGAAATCGATTGTTCATGTCAGGCATTTATGCACACGGACAAGTCGTTTGGGCAGCCAATCGGGACTCGTTGTTTTCAGATCCGACAACGACAAACATCTGAAAATTTAGCAGACCTCAATCTGTTTCTGGTTAGCACTAGCTATCGGCACAGTCATCGCTGATGTGCTAACTGGCATCCTCCTACCGCACCCGAAAGCTCGACTCAAATTAATTACATTGCGATTAGCTAACACTAGCGTGGTTGAATACATGACTGCCACTCTTTTTGGAGTACTGATCTAGATTTTGATTATCCCCTCATTTCTGCTATTGATACCTGTACGTCATATATGCAACACTTACCGAGGGTAAGTTTGACCTCTCCGAATTGAGGATTCAAAGCGATTCTGTGTTCGATCATCGTTGTCTCCGAAAGCTCCAGTGGCAACACAATGTTAGTAACGTGGGTTCGGGCACAGTGACGGTAATTCGATTACTGCCACAATCTTGAAACACCGATCTTGGTGGTTTGTACATGCACTACGAATGTCGTCCCAGTGAATTCCACATCATACATTAGTTACGGACTCTGGGAGTGGTTGAAAAAAGCGAATAGGTGGTCAGTGTATGATTTACCCTTCTTTTACGTTATGTATTCTTTTATTAAATTAATATGTGTTCTTTTTTTTTGGTTCACTGTTACCAGCTGGTATATGAATTCCTACTTCGTTTCATTGAATCTCCGAATTTTCAACCAAACGTTGCTAAGCGTTATTTCGATACAAAATTTGTATTACAGGTATGATTGTCTTATTTCATTTTATTTATTAATATTTTTTTTATTATTTATTTTATTTTAACACATTGGTACAAGGAGGCACCAAATACATATGCGCCACACGAATCTCAATTGATTTGTGTGAGGGCTGTGATACTGCCCGGGTGCCCAAACCGAAGCAAGTGGTTTTCTTAGGGGGCCACACCCCGAGCCTTTGACCTGAACGTCTGATCCATAAGGCAGTGGAGCATCGTGAGGAGATGCAGTCCCATGGTAGCATTTGGGGGCATTTATTAATACTAAACTGATTTATTAATATTAATCAGTTTAGTACTCATTTTTGTTTCTGGTACTTAATTTATCCCACTTTCTCAAGTAATTTCAATGATATTTCCTTGTAATAAACAGTTAACAACGTCTATTATATCATGAGAGCCCGCAAATGCCCTGGTACGTCCGAGAGTGGGGAGAGTCCGCTCTCCTCGAAATGCTCTCACATGGTCACACGTATATAGCCTCTGCCAGGGAAGTCCTACTCACTGCCTTCTCGTGGCGGGGGTGTTGTTTACGAAAATGAGAGGACGAAAAGCGAAAGTCTGGCGCTTTAACCGGATCCCAAACCAATGGTGCACATGGGCTGGGTCCAGGATCCTGAGGGAACAAATGGCGTATGGACCAATTTCTTGGTGACCGGCTACCGTTGGACTGCATCTCCTTACGATGCTCCACTGCCTTTTGGATCAGACCTTTAGGTCAAAGGTTTGGGGTGTGGCCCCCTAAGAAAACCACCTTCTTCGTTTTGAGCACCCGAGCAGTATCGCAGCTCTCACACACATATCAAATGAGGTCTGTGTGGCGCATATGTATTTGATGCTTCCCTGTACTAATATCTATGTGTCCAAATAAATAATAAATAAATACAATATCACGATATCAAACCTTATAAATGTATACAATATAGTCGAAACAACATTAATTCTAGTGAGAGCGATTAAACATAAGAGAATACGGTTTATAGAGAAATGATTTTGAGACGAAAATATTGCGACTGAAGGTTTATAGAAAGATAAAGACTGAATGGATCTGCGGCACTATGACCTAATCTAAATTAAGTCATCAAACTCCTGATTAAGGTTATATTGTGTATCTCAGCCAGATATTTTGCGGTTGACAAAGTTTTATTATTTCACACATCAGTGTGCTGGTGCTATGCTTTAGTATGACTACCTCCATCTAATTCCGATGTATTCCCTACGTCAACCAAGATTGCACACCGAAGTATTGAGTGGTTGCACATACATCTGGTCTAATTTCATCATCAACTGATTTTCCATCTTCATCTAGTACCCGATGTCGCTCATCGAAGAGAACTATGCTATCAAACACAGAGTCTCTTTGAGTCCTCAAATCGGAGAGATCAGGTTTCACACTCATAGAGCAAAACTGTTCTCATCAACATGTTGTGGATCCGAACTTTAACAGCCGGAACGACATCAAGACACCAAAGATTGTCAAGATTAGCATAAGTCGCTCTGACTTTTACTGTGCATAATCTGATCTCTTCAGTCATAACACCGCCAACACTTATGCATCTACTCAGTTACATGTACTTCTCAACAACTTCTATCCTCCAACTACCCAAGGTGAGTGCAGGTTCAGCGTGCTGCTAGTCTCGTAAAAGTACTTTGCACTTCGAAGGTACAAAACACATGCCATACCTATGGACACTGATTTCCGGCTGATTAAGTGTGGGTGTCATGGCTTGGGTATCATCCACATAGTCAAGGTCTTTCTTCATGTAATAGATCCATACCACCATTACTTACGTCCATCAAAGCTGTTTCCAGAGTGTCATCGATGGCAAAGTTGCGATCCTACCTAACCCTACTGTTTGAATTAAACAATGAAGAGAGGTGGTTGTATGCTCTCACTACTCTATCTGGTGTGCCAGTATCAAGGGGTTTTTAAATGTTAACAAGCTTCTCAGGTATGCCCTCCTTTAACGGACAGTCTCAGAGAACAGTTCTGTCTCACGAATCGAAGGTGGTCGTGATGTCAATAAACACCACGGTTGTTGGCCTGCAACAAGTATCACAGTGTTCAAACATTTGGCGGATGGTGAATTTATGATCAATATACCCTCGAATAGGACGAAAACCAACCTGCTTTTGGTGGGTCAGTCTTTCACGTGCTATAAACAGTTTGCAAAGCATGACGAAGCAAATAGTTTGGACGCGATTAGAAGTAGGTTTTGTCAGTTGATAGTTGTTGCAGAAATGACGTGAACACTTTTTGAAGATAGAAACCACTGTCGCCTCATTCCTTTATATTGAAGCTCTCTGTTATTGCCAAACGTTCGTAAACAACTCAGTCATTTCCATAACCCGAATTTCAGTAGCATCTTTAAAAATGGCCGGGGACAAGTTATCTGAGCCTAGATATTTGCGGCGCTTCACCTCTTGGTGTTCCCTACCTTCTCGCTCCTCGTTGTGTAAATCAGACGCCAATGACCAAGGAAGGCAAGACAGTGTGATCTATATAGTCAGGACAGCAGACCAGTTGAACTACTCCTGGAAAAACTCTGCCCACCGTTCAAGATGCCAGCAGCTGTTAGTGATTGGCTCCCCGTCATTTCAGATTGTTTCATGTATACCAGATTCCTTGCCGCTAGTGACTCGAATGAGCTGACAGAGCTTCAAGCAGTTACCAGATGCAGCTGCTGCTTCCAACTCGATAGCACACTACGACCACCAGGCTTCTCGGCTCTAACTCAAGCTTCACACAATTCCATCAAGGAACAATGTTTGTTTATGATCAGAATCGCGGTTACCTGGATTAGACTGACGTTTGTCAGTCAGTTGTAAAGAGCCTATAGAAACCATCGCCTATAGGCGGGACGTTTCACTATGCCGTAAGCGACTTTACCATTTTTATGACATCATGCTATTGAAGCCGATTCTCAGCTATACTTTTCGATGGACTGATGTCCAGCTTTGAACATACTTACTTATTTACTTACGCCTGTTACTCCTCGTGAAGGAGCATAGGCCGTTCACCAGCATTCTCCATCCAACCCTGTCCTGGGCAATCCTTTCCAGTTGTTATTTATCCTTTTCATATCTGCTTCTATTTACCGACCCGATGTGTTCTTCGGCCTTCCTCTTTTCCGCTTCCCTTCAGGAGTCCAAGTTAGGGCTTGTCTCACGGTGCAGTTTGGTGATTTCCTCAATGAATGTCCTATCCATTTCCATCGTATTTACCTAATTTCCTCTTCAGCTGGAAGTCGGTTTGTTCTCTCCCACATAAGGCTGTTGCTGATGGTATCCGGCCAGTGGATGTTGAGTATCTTGTGTAGACAGGTATTGATAAATACTTGTACTTTCTTGATGGTGGTTGTTGTAGTTCTCCAAGTTTCAGGTTCGTACAGTAGAACTGCCTTGACGTTCGTATTGAAGATTCTGACTTTGATATTGGTTGAAATTTGTTTTGAGTTCCCTATGTTCTTCAGTTGTAGGAATGCAGTCCTTGCTTTGCCAATCCTCGCCTTTTCGTCTGCATCTGATCTTCTTTGTTCATCGATGATGCTTCCCAGGTATGTGAAGGATTCTACATCTTCCAGAGTTTCGCCATCAAGTGTGAAGCTTTGAACATAGCTCGACTTAATATTCAGTTGCGACAGGTTTTATTATTATTTATTATTTTAACACATAAATATTGGTACAAGGAGGCACCAAATACATATGCGCCACACAGATCTCATTTGATATGTGTGAGGGCTGTGATACTACCCGGGTGCCCAAACCGAAGCAGGTGGTTTTCTTAGGGGGCCACACCCCGAGCTTTTGACCTGAAGATCTGATCCACAAGGCAGTGGAGCATCGTGAGGAGATGCAGTCCCATGGTAGCCGGTGACCAACGATTGTTTCATAGGCCATTTGTTCCCTCAGGATCCTGGAGCCAGTCCATGTGCACCATTGGTTTGTGTTCCGGTTAAAGCGCCGGACATTCGTTTTTCGTCCTCTCATTTTCGTAAATAACACCCCAGCCACGTGAAGGCAGTGAGTAGGACTTCCCTGGCAGAGGCTTTATACACGTGGCCATGTGAGAGTATTTCGAGAGGGAGAGCGGACTTTCCCCACTCTCGGCCGTGCCATGGCGTTTGGGGGCAGTTGCGACAGGGGCTGCAGTCAATTTACTGACATCGATCCATTTAGGACGATGAATTTGTTGGCCACTGAAACATAAGGAAAGATGATCAGAGATGTTAAAAATACATCGCTTCTCTCATCGATTTCTCACTTTCATAGAGCTTTTCACTCTAATGTCACGTGACTGACTGTTAATTGAGATCCGATCGGTCAGTGCCATCTCAGCTCTAGCATTTAGCGCGACACCAGCAAAATCAGACAAAAGTGTCGCAAGGTCCTAGATAAACACACATGAAACAAGCTTTCCGAATCGACGGTTGGAGAGCGAATTTGTAACACTCCACTTGAGTCTTAGATGCGTGTTTCTTATAGACAACAGACGTCAATATTAAGACTTTCTAAAGACATAACAACTCTATCTGTTGTCCGATCTGCATTAGTGTGCGGACGTTGGAGGCCAGTTTGAATGATATACGTGGTTTCAGAAATACGGGTTCAGTATTCGTAGTCGGTGGTAGCATTCAACTCGCGACCAGTCAGTGACTTGAGCTGATTTAGATACGACACTTTTCCACCATAGGCGAGCGAACGTTGATGCAAGAGTAATCTTTCCAGTAGTAATTCTCATCTCATTTGTTTATGGGCTTAGACACTACCCGGGTGCCCAAACCTAAGCACGTGGTCTTCTTAGGGGGTCACATACCAGACCTTTGACCTGAAAGTTTAGTCCACAAGGCAGTGGAGCAATGTCGGAATATGAAATTCCATGGTCACCGGTGACCAACAGTAGGTTCATGCGCCATTTGTCCCCTCAGTATCTTGGAGCCCATGTGCACCAGTGGTTTGGGACCAAAGTTTTCTAACTCCCCTTGG